CCAAGGAATTATTCAGCATGAAAATAAAATAGGCTTGATCCAATTGTGGAAAAATACGAACCAAGACAGTTTGATGTTACCATAACAAAAGAGAAACAAATACAGTATTCGACATGGAAGTGACACAGGCTTGATATTATTATGGAAAAACAAACCAAGGTAGTAGCCAGTATCCACAATAAAACATACTGAATGTTCAGTCATTTATGGTGTTGTCTTTAGTTCAAAGGTTGAATATTATGTCTCTCCAATCTTCCATGTCGTTGACCTCTCTCTTGATGTCCACGTACATCTTAAATTTTGGTCATTCACTAATAGCCTACACCCTCATCCTTCTTTATCTCCCAAAGTGCACAAACTGACCATCTTTATGACGTCACTTGCAGATAACTCAGATTGGTGTGGCTTGATAAAGACAACAGAACACATACATGTCGCAAATGAAACAATCTCGGGAATTAACCGTATTTTCACAAGGTCGCATGGTTGGACGATGGAGGGACTGTCAGAGTCAGTGAAAATTCTCCGGGTCACTTGCAATATCACTTTCAATAGTGAATAGGGTAACAGTGCCGTTCCAGTTACAAACGTTTCTGCCTGGCCCGAAAGCCCATAACCACCATAAAGGACTCTTCATGCTGTGTAAGGAAACGTGTGACATCTGTTGGACATCAGTGCCCCTGAATATCACAGACTGGTTAAAAACTGAGTTTCCACCTTAGATATTGCAAAGGATAGCTCCACTAAACACTCATGTTAGTCTTGTACCATTTCTTTCATATTTCTTTATTTGATAAAAAAGGTAATCATTCTAAAATGGGTATCGACTTAGTTATTGGTAAGCTTTCTATACTTAAGACAGTGTTACCATTTTAACCCCTAATCTGAATGTTACAGGGGTAAAGAAGCCAAGGCGGTATCAACGATAAAATACACTGGTGGTAGCATAGGGGGAAAACAAACCAAAGCAGTATCTGGTATCAACAATAAAACACACTATTGGTAGCATAGGGGAAAAAAACCAAAGCAGTATCTGGTATCAACAATAAAACACACTATTGGTAGCATAGGGGAAAAAAGCAAAGTAGTATCTGGTATCAACAATAAAACACACTATTGGTAGCATAGGGGGAAAACAAAGCAAAGCAGTATCTGGTATCAGGATACTGCTTTGGACTTTTTCCAGCATCTCATTGAATTTTATTGTTGATACTGTACACTGCTTGGTTTGTTTTCCCCTATGCTACCACAAGTGTGTTTTATTGATAACGCATAAAATAATAAACTTGAGGTTGCGAAGAATACAAAAACAGGCAAAAGCAGTAGACAGATTCAGCAATAAAATGCAATGAAATAATGGGGGAAAACAGACCCAGTTGGTATTCATAACCCATAATACATTAACTTCGAGGTTGCTAAGGGAAACATACGAAAGCAGTATCCAATATCAGCAGTAAAATGTACTAGGGTCCTGTAGAAAAACGGATCAAAGCAATATCCATAATTCACAATACAACAAACGTGAGGTTGCTAAGGGAAAACAGATCAAGGCAGAGTAAGTATCAGTAATACAACATACTGAATGTTACTGGAGAAAATCATAATATATTTTAGTCCCCGTGTTTCAGTAGCTTAAAAAAAAGAAGAAAACTGGAAAACTGAATCGACTTGAATCTACACATGGATTCTTGCACAACCTATAAACACTAGGTTCCTCAAGCAATTGGTAAAGATTATGGTAGAATAACTTCTCGTTTTAACATTGTCTTCATCTAGAGAGGTGGCATTTTACGTCTTTTTCTGTACTTGCACAAATTGATTGGTCAATACTTTTATTAGAGCCTGAAGCAGTGCGGTTTTCTCTGCTAGACTGGTCTGTGTTCTCACCAAGCAAAGATTTATTAATCATTGATGAAATCGAACCGTTTGGACCTATTTCACGAGTGGCTGAATCCTATCGCCTTAGGCATAGCGGCTAACTCGATGGAAACTCCGTTAGATGCAATTAATTATCCACAAACCCCCGAGTCAAGACTCCACAGAATTCCGTATCCATTGGACCGTACCAAGATTGGGTGGAAGTTTGTGAAGGTTCAAGAACTGACTGTTCTTTCAGTACTATTTTACCCACTTACAGCTAATATTTAAAATTTACAATACTGAGCAAACTGCTTAATTTTTGATAATATACTGAGTTCAATAAATAGCTATTTCTAGTTAAGCCAATCATAATCTGACACGTGGAGATTATTTTACTTAAAGACTTTCTCCAGTTCTAATAAACTTTCTTCTTTATTGTTGGGATCCAGTTTTAATAGAAACATTTTCAACATTCAGGTTTTTTTTTATGGATAAATACTGTGTTTTTCTTTTAAAATACTCGAATTTTGTTTATTTATTACGTGCTTACGACATCCTTAAATATGTGTTTGTTTTTGTTTTAGCTCAAAGCCACAACAATGGGCTACCTGCACTCTGTCTACCGCTGATAGTCAAACCCCGGATTTTATCGTTGTGAGTCCGTAAACTTGCTGCTGACTCACCGGGGACTTCTGAAGTACACAAAATACATCGAGTTTTCTCAATAATCACAATTTATAGAACCAATAAAATTTTCAAACATTGACTGTGTGCACCCACAGGTTTGTCCGCAGACTTAAAACGCTAGAAACCGGTTTCGATACCCGAGGTGGGCAGAGCACAGATAGCCTATTATGTAGCTTTGTGCTTAATTACAAATAAACAAACATTGAATGTGACTTAAAAAATATGCTAAAAGTTAATTTCCAAACCATATGGTTCATATAATTCATACAGTTTACTTAATTAATTTACACCTGTAGCGAAAACTTTTCCATTTTGGAAGAAAACTTACATCAGTTTGTTTCTGTTTGACTAAAACTTACATCAGTTTGTTTCTGTTTGACTAAAACGGACATTAGGTTGTTTCTGTTTGACTAAAACTTACATCAGTTTGTTTCTGTTTGACTAAAACTTACATCAGTTTGTTTCTGTTTGGCTAAAACTTACATCAATTTGTTTCTGCTTGACTAAAACTTACATCAGTTTGTTTCTG